GGCTTCTCTGTTTGAACGTATACCAATTATTCCTACCCTTGAAAGAATATAGTTTAGACCATTCATCTACGATTGTTCATCTCCATGGTAGTTACGGTTCTGTAGTCGAAATTAGAAAACGATTATCATTATTCTTGTCATTCTTCTTGTCTTTCTTTAATTCAAAAACGAAATCCCAGCCAGATATTCAACTGTTAAGAAAGGCTTATGTGGAAAACTAAAAGAAAAATAAATGGTCCCCTAAGAATAATGAGAATCGTTCTTGATCCTGACGTGACCTTTCTCACCAAAGACAAACCTAAGCTCCCCACGACCGTATTTCACCTCGCTTGGGTTTTTTTTTTTTAAACGAAACAAAATCCCAAACAACGACAGCTGACAAACAAACGGTTTTTTCTCGTTATTGTGACAGTGCTAATCTTTCTGGATTCGCCTCCATTTCTTTTTGACGGGGAAAAGTGAGAGAGGAGACGTGAACAAGAGATGAAACTGCCAGCCTGAGTAGCTGTCATGTTTCGGTTGGTCAGAGCTGGCCATCTGCCAGGGCTCTGGACGAGGAAGGCCGCCCACTGGCTGATGGGAAAATGTGGCAGTACAGGACATGGGTCATCTCATAGTTGTTGGGTTGTTTTGTTTTCTTCTTGGTTTGCTTTTTGCTGGGTTTTCTTCTTTTTTTTTTGGGGGGGGGGGTTTAGTGCTTTTACGGCGCCCACAACTGCAGTAGGTCATAATAAGAGGGAACGAAACACATTAAACATTTTCAGTTTGGTAGGAATTAGTTTTGAATTTTGCCCGGGTGGCGGTCGAAGCCAACTCTTATAGATTTTAGGACCTTTAGTATCTTTAACGTGCGCAACTTGCACATGGGACCTCCGAGATTTTTCGCCCTTATCCGAGAAGGCTAGTTGTTTGATCTTACCTACCCTAAGATTAAGGGAGTGGTTGTTGTTGTTGTTGTTGTTCCTGTTGCTGCTGCTGTTGTTGTTGTTGTTGTTGCTGCTGTTGTTGCTGCTGTTGTTGTTGTTGTTGTTGTTCCTGTTGCTGCTGCTGTTGTTGCTGTTGTTGTTGTTGTTTCTGCTGTTGTTGCTGCTGTTGTTGTTGTTGTTGTTCCTGTTGCTGCTGCTGTTGTTGCTGTTGTTGTTGTTGTTGATGTTGTTGTTGCTGTTGTTGTTGTGTTGTAGTTCATGGTGGTTCTGCAATGCATTC